GTGGGATCGTCTTCAATAAAAATATAGATCATTGTTACTTTAAAAAAAGAAGCTAGCAGCTGTTTGTAAATGTCGAGATTGTTTCTAGTATGAACACTTTGTAAGTTTTAAATGTTCTATAGTCTTTTTCTTGCAACATGAATAAACAGAATATTGTTTAATTGCAAATGTATTCAGTCAAGCAGTTGAAAACAATTGTAATCCTATTACTTTTATGAATGATGCCTCCTTAATTTATTAAAGACTGAATCGTTTTCTTTTTGTTAACTTAGAAAAAATGATGAAGAAATAAATGCTATTTTTTCCATGGCATTTTAAGCAGTTCATTTTGATTTAACTAGATCTGAATAATATTGTTACATATATAGACTATTTTTAATCGATTAAATAATTCATTTTTACTCTTAAAAAAAATTTCTATTCTCACATAAAATCAATTAAAATCAAATTTGAGGTTATGCCTTCATTTTTCGACCAAACCGACTAGAAAAAAGGTGTAGCATAATATTTAACGCTATTTACTGTCGTTTTTCTTTTATTTAAGTGAAAAATGTTGCTCTGGCAGATCGATGTTACCATCAATCCGCATGATTTCGTCATTGCAACATGCATTTGATCAGCAAAGATCATTTACTTCTTGGTAAGTTTGTAATAAGCAATTTTCCTTATCGATCAGTGAGGCACGATATCTATTCTGTCCTTACGCGTTTCATTTTTTCCCTGTTCTTTCNATTCTTCGACCAAACGAATAGAAAAAGGTGTAGAGTAATTTCATGACAATATATTAGTTTTAAAATATCAAGTTCGATATATTTTCACAAATTCATTAAACAGAAAAATTAGATTTAATAATGATTATACAATTCATATTTTCTAGGTCTTTAAAATACGACGAATCTCCACAAGTTGATCAACCATCATCATTTGATATATTGGATTTCTGTTATGCTCTAGTATCGAAACATTAGATCTATTTGTCAAACATAACTCTATGTAACCATGAATGTATGACATGAAAATATGGGATTTTCTTAAAGTTAATTTTCTTTATGTTGTAGTTTGAATATTATTCTGTCGATTACATTCATTAATTAAACAACAATTAACAATCAATGATACATTTCAAAATCGAACAATTCAACCCTTTTACATACAATAGAATGGTCTGAGGAGGTAATTTTTTGTTTCTATAGAATTTATTTTAGTAGATAGTTAATCCACAGCTAAGAAATTTCAAACAGATACTTCTTGTTCGTTCTTAGCTGCTTGCTAGATTTTAACTATGGATAAAAATAGAAGTCAAGTAAATAATTGAATAAGAAAAGCATTGAAGCAAATCGTTTAATTTATTTTCGATTTAGAATTAGTTAAATGATTTATTAATGTTGGTTCAAAAATGTAGAGAAAGCTGAAATTTTTTTTCGATTTTAATTCAACAAATAATTTGAAATATGATTTATCTGAAAAGAATTTTTCACTTGATGTTCTAATTAAATATATGACACATGAACCAGGTAATCGGTCGTGATCATATATATTTAATTATATTTTTCTAAAATTTCGAATTATTGTCGATTAGCTGTTCTTCTTCATCTTCTTCTTCAATCAAAATTATAGGTATCAAATGAATATTGCAATACTTTTACGACAATTGAAAGTAGAAAAATAACTTTTGTTGAATCCAAAACATTATCCATTGATCAATGTATTTTTATTGTGTTCGAACAACAGGTTATCGCCAATGCTGTTTATCTGCAAGCAAATACTCATATAGTATAAGACTACTTGATGAATTTTATCCTGTTGACAAATTACTTGATATATTTGTTAATACAGAAATCTTAACAAAAGAATATGTTAATATAAAGTGTATGATAGAATTTCTTTGTTTCTATAATTCTAGTCTTACAGTGAACGTTTTCTTCGTGCTTATATAATATTTACTGAACGTAATAAAATAGATGCAAGTGTTCGTAAATCAGCACTTGAAAAAATGACGATAATTTTTCTTGAAATTATTTCAAACTTAACTCATGCATTAGTATGCCTACTTTTTGATCGAAGTCCACACATAACTTCATTACTTGATAAGTAAGGATTCATTCATTTTAAGATGAATTTAAGTATAGTTAAAAAAGATTTGTCGGATCACAAATGATCTAGAATATAGAACATACATTTGATCTATATTTTGAATTATGTTCAACAAAGTAGTATAGTCATATATTTTCGAAACTAACATTGATAACTGGTACAATGGATGTTTTACACCATATCACAACAAAGTAATGAGCTTGTAGGTCGTTGATTTAATGTTTTTTTTTATCTATTTCAATAGAATCGAATAAAAAAATTCAATTTTGTTTTCATTTCAAACAATATTACTAAGAAATATGTTAGTTCATATTCTCACGTTGTTACTTAGTCACTGGTTGTCAAATTCACAGAGATACTGTCTGCTTGTTTGTTAGTGTTAAGCATAGTCATACTCTTCGCATTATATGTTGAATTATGAGTCATTGTTTTATTTAAATAAGAATCGCCGTGGCAAAAATGACTTAAATACATTTTAACTTCGAATAAAACTTGACTATTTTTAATATTCACGATCGTTTATTTGAAATTTGAATCATTTTTCTTCAGAAGTCAGCAGGTTTTTCCATACTGAAAAACTTCTGCAAAAACTAACCGTTCAGTATTTGTCATTGCACTTGATAGATACTTCCTTTTTAAATTCATATAACTGATGTGAAAGAGAATATTTTGTTTTATTTAAACACGCATCAATGCAGGTCATAGATATGTTCTCATTCATCCTAAAAAAAACTATCTTTCATTGACTTTTATTGTTTTGCATCTAATACTTGTGCAGTTATTTTCAAAGAAATCATTTCGTTTTTACTACATATGAGTAGTATTGATTCGAAAGTTCTTCACTCAAAAATAGAATTATTGAATTTTAATCGACAGATGCTGCTCTGGTAGGCGATGTCATAGAAATACAATGAGAGTTCAATTATTTCTTTTTTCCGACATAAACTTATTTTTGTTTCAGTAACTAGATAAGCATCAGCTTTGCAGTCTTATTCGATTATATTTCTTTTTGGAAGAAAACAACTAAATAGTTCAATGATGATCAGATAAATCCACGCAAGCTACATAAAGATGTATATTCTATCCATGAAAATAGTTCTCCTCTTTCGATTTCAATATTGATTCTGCACAAACTGACTCTATAAATAATGAAAAGTTAGTTAATAAAAAAAGTAAACTTGTACTTCTGAAATGTGTTTTTAAAGAAATGAAAAATAACATGGTAATCGATATAATTAGATTAGATTATTTTATTCCGAATGAACTTTTTTCATATGCATTGATCTTTTCTATTTACTTTTTCAAATCTATAACGAGATAGTTTATGTTGCACAAACCCATTCCAATAATCTTGGCTTATTGAGTAAAAGTAGACTAACGACTTTAACATCCGTGTGTTTAAGTTAATTTTTTCATAAATGAAAATGACTTAGCAACATGACGCCAGTAGCTTGTTATATAATGACAGTGACATACATTTTTCACTAGAAAATAACGAAAATTATATACTGACTATCTTCCTTTGATGGTAAATTACTTTGATTATGAAAACAAATAAATGAACATATAATTATTTGTTCATGAAAAGTATTTTAAATTAAAAAATTTCTTCTTAAAATCACTAACAGGACAGCTTTACAATTCATTATTATTGATAAAAAAAAAAAAGAATCAAATAGTATACGACTTTAATCTTCGACTAACGAGAGATAATTTTCGTACGAGCTTATTACAACATGTGATTCTAATAAAGTGGAACAAAAATGACTGTCTAAATATTCAGGCTAACAAATTTTAAAATTTCAATTTTGAGAATAAGAAGTCATCTAAATAAACATGAAATTTATTTTTGAAGCTTTTCGAAGTAGCTTGTTTTAGAATTTATGACTGTTCAGAACATTGAACAAAAGTTGTTATTTCTTATCGAAACATATGTCATTTACTGTAAAAACTTCTATTTCTGATGCGATGATCTCAAGAACGGAATTTCGCCTGATACTCGTTGAAACGGTTTTAGTAATACTAAGATCTCTATGATACAAATTTTGTTCAATTTCTCCTGTCGAATTTGGCTTGGGAAAAGTAAAAAGTGGATCATATTTTTCACTTAGCCGATTCCATGTAGTGAGACTTGGCGTTGATTTAGCCATGATTAAAAAGTTGGCGATTAAATTCAAAAATTTTATTAAACCTTGAAAATTCCTTAGCCTAAAAATAAATAAATATTTAATATTCAATCATTCAAATAAAAAACCGAATATGTTTACTTATATTGATGCTGACTTTTATAAATGTAAACAATCTACACTTAAAATACAATCGATCTTATTTCATATGATTCTGAATGTGTCATTCTCGTAAATTTGAAACGAATTTATTATAGAATCAGTATCCTTTTTTTATATTACTATGTCATGTAAAACGTGAATTGCCTGAATAGAACGAGCCCGAGAAAATAATACTGCGATTAAGGCCATTGGCTATGCGAAGTTTCTGGTCACTTAAGTAATTGTATATCTTAGAAAAAAGCAAAGGAATGAAATTTGCTTGAAGTGATCTACATTGAAAAATAAAATATATCTCTACTCATAGTTTGAAATCAATAGAGTTGAAATACAATCATGAAAACGATGCATCTAGCTTTTTAAAATGTGAAATACTTTGCTGATTTGCTCATTAATACCCTAGAACTATAATAATCGTCATACTAATTCAAGGATATTGATATTTTTTCTATCACCTGCTTTTCTTATTATGCAAGCAGAGAAGCAAAGCTAAATAGATTTTAATAGCCATTTTTGTTAAAATGTGATTTTCTAATTCTAAGTACGTCTTTTTCTGTTTTGATGGCATATTGACTTTATTCAGTTCTTATTTGAGTTCTCAGGGGGGGGGGGGGGTAGGCGTTGGCATTGTTAATTNCCCCCCCCCCCCCCCCCCCCCCCCCCCCCCCCCCCCCCCCCCCCCCCCCCCCCCCCCCCCCCCCCCCCCCCTAGTCCTTAGCATTGGTAATTTCATGAAACAATCAAATATGAAAATATTTGCAAGCATATCACAGGCATCAAATGATAGAAAATTCTTCATGAAAACATATGATGATAATTAGTTGAACTTGCTGAGGTTTTGCTTTTTGTGCTGCTTCTTGTTTAATCAATAATTGTTGGATAAGCATTGACAATCCAGAATTGAGATTTGGTAGTTGAAAGGCTAACATAAGATTGCATCATTTGTTTTACGGATTGAAACAAAAAAGAACCACCACATATGTTGTACGTCGAGCATTTCCATCCCCACATTTAACCAAAGGCGAGCTCGCATATTGAAACCAACTGACGAGGAATAAAATGGATGTAAATAAATTGATGTTTATCTTTACTGTTCTTTGCAACTCTTCTCATAATACACGCTCGTGTCTGTGATCTTTCTATGGTAAATTAGAGTTACAGTTTATCACTCAAAATTATGTGTTAAACGAATATAGTTTAATTCATACATTATAGAAAAAGTATCGAGTGGCATTATGAAGATGTTGTGTCTCTTCTACGATTAAACACCATTAAGCAGTTTTGATGTAATTTTGAATTTTCCATTTCTAAGTTACCTATTTCCAATGCTAGAAATTCTAAAATAAACATGGCACAAAATGTTGATGTTTAGCGAATTAGCAAGTTGTTACTTTGAACACAAACGAGAAAGAATCTTGTTAATGAGGAAAAAATTGTTCTCTTCTAATTTTCAGCTCAATATCACTGATATTTAAAACAATTAAATGGTTACTTACCAATACTTCGATTTAAATGAAGTAATGAAGAATGTTCTCTATTTAATGTTTGAATTTCACCAGCAAGAATATTCATCGTTTCCTAAATTTCTT